AAATATGGGTTTTTTTCTGAAAATTGTAGTGTTCAATTTCTGTTTAACTTATTGGATAAAAAATAAAACAAAATTTAAGATATGCCATGATTATAGGCCACATTTGTTTTTTTTTTTCTTTCAACATGTTAAATTTATCAAATAAACAGTAATTAGGCATTAATTATCCCAGTGTTAAATTCCTGAAGCAATGATTTTTACACAATTTTTATTTTTGACCTGTTTCTCTACATAGAAAAGAACAAGTGTTTCACATGAATGCCTACAGATTTCAACAACTGCCCTCTGTTACTATTCGGACTGGGCTTTTAATCAGTCTGATTTAATCAGCACTCTCTCTCTCTCTCTCTGTCTGTGTCTCTCTCTCTCTCTCTCTCTCTCTCTGTCTCTCTCTGTCTCTCTCTCTCTCTCTCTCTCTCTCTCTCTCTCTCTCTCTCTCTCTCTGTCTCTCTGTCTCTCTCTCTCTCTCCCTCTCCCTCTCTCTCTCTCTCTCTCTGTCTCTGTCTCTCTCTTTGTGTATGTTTTTCTTCCAGGTGAAGAAACACACCCAGGACTCCTTCCAGAGTCTGATATATCCGGCTGTGCCTCTCTCCTGCCCCCCAGACAGTCCAGCATCTGACGCCCCCACTCAGACCCCCAGTACACCAAACACACCCTCACCCAGCACACCTGAACCTGTGGATGGGGTGTGGGACTTCTCCTAATGCTGCAGAGCACTGAGTGCAAAACACATTAACAAGCCAGAACAGGACAAATCAGTCGAAAATCATGGTACCAGACCAGCACTTCTGCGTCTCTGAATTTGGCCTGTTAATGATTTTGAACCTGGGTGCTTATTCTCTCTCTCCTGTTTCTCTCCTCTCTTTTTCTTTCCTGTCTCTTTCTCTCTCTCGTTCTGCCTGCATACTCCTTTAACACCTTCAAACCTGTCTGTCTCTGTGGGCAGGTCCTTTACCTGCCTTGGTTTTATATATGTCTCCAAAGGAAGGAAGGAGATGGTAGAACAGTTACAGAACTTTCCCACATTCTTGCTGTGCTGTATTTTATATCCACCATTCCAAGCCTACTTTTGTTGCTTGTATTGGGGGTTTTAGGGTTGCTGTGTGATGCTGGCTGGTGTGAGGATTGTGGACATTCAGTGAAGAATTCTGTGCCATGACTGGACGTTTTTGTCTTCGTAAATGTCAGTAGCCAGTGACCTTTGACATAAAGTGGATCAGACCACAGCTGCAGTGAAGAATCAACAAAGCTGAGCCACGTGTACTGGGAGGGAGGAGTGTGCGTGTGTGTGTGTGTGTGTGTGTGTGTGTGTGTGTGTGTATACGGCCATTTTATCAGAAACACCCACCATATTGGTGCACTTTGTAGTCGGCTGCCCTCAACACCACCAAGAGACAGGGAACCACCACTGACCATATTACATGTGAGCAGTGGACCATTCTTAGCACAGCAGCGATGCTGATATGGTGATACGGTCACATGTAAAAGTTTGTGCAGGTTTTATTGATTTTCTAAATGAAAATATGCCAACACGCTCTACAGAGAACTTACTGTTTATGTACTGAATTTACCATATGAACATAAAATGTGGCAGATAGAAATGTTACAGCACATTTAATGATGTTTTGTTGTTTTATTAATGTTAATTATGAAATTGTGCACTAAGATTTGCAGAAAATGCCATATTTAAATTCTCTGTAGAAAAACGGCAAAACGTCATTTGATCAGTGATGTTCAAACTTTTGCATACGACTGTAGAGTGGTAGTGTGTGTGGAGGTGATATGAGTGTATCAGGTGATGTGGTGTTGCTGGGGTTCCTACACACCGTGTACTCGTACTGGTCACTTTATTAGAAACACTTTATAATTATATAACATACAATTAATTGTATTGCTCTACCTTGTTAGTGTACAGTTATGCTGTATTTACCTCCTTTGGAGGTGAAAATCGTTATTCCATGCCAGCAGTACGCACCCATCCGCCGTGTGGAAATGTTGCCATGGTGACAACATCAGAAACAACAATAGATGATTATCAGAGTAGAGCTTGATTTGACTTTAACTCAATTCTTTATTTAATGTAGAAAAAACAGGTTCTAGTCTTGTACAAGTTTTTGTTGTATAATTCTGCACATCTGGGCATCTTTGGCTTTCCAAAACAGAAGCGCTGCTGTCGCCAATGATGGTGAAGAATTTTCTGTCTCTGCTCTATTTAAAACAATGGACTATCCAGTTTGCCCTATACCATCATACTGTAAAAGCATAATTAGCAGCTACAGATCAGCTGATGCTCAGTTTCTGTTAGCCATCCTTTGGCCCTTTATCATGGTCAGCTTATGACCCCAGAGCTGCTCTTGACTGAATACATTTGTGTGAAAAATCCAGCAACACCACTGTGTCTGATACACTCATACCAGCACCACACACACCATCATGTCGGTGTCACAGCTGTGCTGAGAATGATCCACTACCTAAATAACATCTGGTCAGCGGTGGTGGACAGTGGCTGATCAGTTGTGCATCAGCAGTTGGGCTACAGCCTGTAACTGTTCACTTATATGCTAAGTGTTTGTGATAAAACGGCCAATTAGGGTCGTACCTAATAAACTGGCAACTCTTTGTGTGTGTGTGTGTGTGGGTATGTGTGTGTGCGTGTGCGTGTGCGTGTGCGTGTGTGTGTGTGTGCGCGTTAACGGGATCTCCAAAGCCTCCTTCTGCTCCCTGTGAAGAAGTCAGAACCTCATATAAGAAAACCCTGTGAAACACCAGATCAGTCCCTGGATGCTGTGCTGTAAACCTGTCTGCCCAACACTGCCTCACACTCTGCCTCCGGCCCTGGAGGCGGGGTCAATAGCGCCTTCATACTGTTGAGGAACTAAACAGTTTTAACTGTGATCGACTCCCTATTTACCAGAGTCACTTTATGTTTTTTTTATGTTAGCTGTTTGAGCCATTTAGATGTATAATAAATATATTCTTACCCATTTTCTTAAAAAATGTTCTACTGTCATTTTGTGGTTGTTATGATGTGCCGTTTCCACAGAGGTCAGTTCGACTGGAACTCTGAGGGTAACAAAGCTAAGAAATAGTTTATACCTCACCAATCAACACTGTACACTCACCTCCAATGGCATCAGTTCGTTAAGGAATCTTAAGTAGACTTGCATAACGACCAAAAAAACAAGATCTCCATTTGATTTTTATTTTTCTCCATGGTTGGAGCTCTGCAGTTCCCCTTTACACTGTGTTGTTGGAGCTTCACTGCCCACGAAAATCACGCTGCACAGTTATGACGGATTCACTCTTATTGAAGTGGAGAACGCAGAACGCTTTCTGCTCAGGGGTCTCATCTCCTCACAGACTGAAGGGGGAGCCATCTTCCACTGACAGTCAGACACTCTATGACCTCTTTCAATTGGATTGTGATTGGTTCCTAGGCGCCTCACGGTTGTAAAAATATCAATCAATATCAATAAAAATATCAAAATAATCAATCTTTTTGAATCACACTGTATAACTGGATTTTTCAGACAAACTGAATTTGGTTGTACTTTCTATGGGATCCAACATACCCGTCTGCTGATGACTCATTTTTTACTATCTAATATTCTTCCTTTAATTAACTGAGAAATGGTAGACATTTAGGCCTACTTGCTGTGTTTTCTTGTTCGCGTCATTGATAGTAAAATTCATTGATACTGATATAGCGTTAAAAGATTCCTGCCTAATAATACGTTGAAAAACTGCAACCTCACAAAAATATACTGTGAAAAGTCAATCGTCAAGTCACCAATATTCAGAACCATTGACCAACTGTGTTTGCACACAGAGGAATTAGACCTCTGCATTTAACCCACCTGTGCAGTAAAACATCACCTGCACACTAGTGAACACACACACTAGGGGGCAGTGAGCACACCTGCACAGAGCGGTGGGCAGCCTTATCCACAATGCCCAGGGAGCAGTTGGGGGTTAGGTGTCTTGCTCAAGGGCACTTTGGTCACATACTGTCGGCTCAGGGGATCGAACTGGCAACCTTCCACGACTGCCCCATCAATACAACCTCGCAACTTCCGCCACACTTTGAACCCTGGATGTCACAGAATTCCAGGTCACTAGTAAGTTGCACAGCTCATCACCCACAGTGTGTTCGAGTTCGCTGTAAAAGGGCGCGTTATCCACCCACGGTCACTTCTTTGGTTCGCGTCCTCCGATTCTTTAAACTGGTCTCTGACGCTGCAGCCTCGGGCTCCTCCGGCCGCGCTCGGCCGGTTCGTTCTAAACCTCTTCAAACACGGAGCGGTCTGATGAGTCTCTCCTAATGTTTTAGTACAGTAACATCAGACTAAATGATTATGAGTCTCAGCAGCGCGGAATTATGACGAATGCCGAGTTGGACTGACGCAAAATTCCAATCTGGCTGTGAGTCGCATTGCCGCAGATCGGATACGTTTCGGATTTCAGTACCACATATGAAAGCGTCTCAAATCGGAATTGAAAATATCAGATTCAGTGTGTTTATCTGTTCACACTGACACACAGACACACATCTGTGTCACATTTGAGGAAAAAGATCAGATTTGGGCCACTTTTACCTGCTGTGTGAACGTAGCCTAAGGCACACTGTGGGTGAAGAGTCCAGCTGTCAACCACTGGAACTTTATATTCGCTCCTGTGATGCTGGCGAAGACGAAACTGAACCCTGCAGGAGCGACTGGCATTCGCTGGCCGTCATGTTTACCTCTGGACGAGCCGCCACGAGACGCTCTGTTCTTTTGCGCATGCGGGTTGGTTTAGGAGCTGATCTGTTCAGACTGATGTCGCATACAGATCACATTTAAAAGATAATCTGAACAGCCAAACAAAAAAATTGGATTTCGTGAGAAAATCAGATTTGGGCCACTTTTACCTGCTGTGTGAACGTAGCCTAAGATGAGTTGGTCAGGTCCACCTGTGGCAGGTTGCAGTAAAATCCTGTCTAGAGCCTTCTGTAGTCCAGAGCCAGCCCTGCCCTTTGCTCACATGGGGGTCCAGACCACCAGGGGTCCCCTCAGGTAGATTGAGTTTACATTAATCCTTTTTACACAGAAGTTTTAGATTAAATTTACATCATTTAATTAGAAAATATTTGGTTGGAAGCTCTTACAAAACACCGTAAAGTCGCTTAAGCAGACATGACCAACAATGGCTTCATGTTAATGTAAGTTCATTGTTTGTTTTAGCCATAAATGAAACAGTGACCAAAGAAAGACTTTGATAGCTAGACAGACTTTTTATCTGACTTATTTAGCCAGATACCTGAAGCAGACTAAATCTATGGGACATCACAATCACTATCACAATCACTATCACCAGTCGCATCACCAGTCACATCACCAAACACACTCACTGCGTTTCATCTGCAGTTCAACCAATACAAACACTTAATTTTAGCTGTGTGCAGATTTTTCTGTTTAAACTGTAATACATGTAATATTTCAAAGTCTGCTACAAGTGCCTAGATTTTGCTGTTGACACTTTGCATATTTTGAATAAACAAAGCAAAATGTTATTTAAAAATGAATTAAAAACAATAATATACAGTAATGAAGAAATGGATAAGACCAGAGAAACATTTGGAAGGACTTGCAAAATATACAATGACACAAAAGTAACATTACGCTAAAAAAAAATAATAATAATAATAAAAAAAAAAAGAGTTAATATGCCTTTTTTCAGATTTCCGCATTTTTTCTGCAGGAAGTTGTTGCAGGTGACGCTGCTTCAACTAAAGCAATTACAACAGCGATGATGCCGAGTTGAGCGTGTTCAGCTCACTCAAGTGTTAGAGCTTGAGGAAAAACAGCCTCATCTCAGTTTCAGTGGTTTGTCAGCTGATGATCAGAGGAAAACGAGTTTACGCAATTAATAAAGGAATAAACTGTCATACGGAGTTAAAGAACCTCTGTGTCTGCATTTCAGCACTGCTGACTGATGCTACACTGAATGCAGCGGTGCTTTAAAGTTCTTTTTTTTCTGAGGTTATTTCTGAGGTTAGTAACTGTCCATAAGGCGGTAGAGGAACTTGTTTTACCAGCGTTTACACACTTCCGTTTCTTGTGAAAAGGGCCTATTAAGAAAAAAACAACAAAACTGCTAAGGACGCTTCAGTCTGTAGCGTCCAAAGTCGCCTGCTGATGGACTACTGTTGATGTACTAGTTTTAACGTACTATTAGGACGGTAGTCTGTGGTTTTGGATGCAACACAGTCATAATTAACTTGATTTTAACTAGATTTATCAGGAATTATACAAGAAACAGTGTGTTACTACACTTCCATTAGGAGGTTTAACATGAGAGTAAACACAAAGAAGTCCATGCTCTCACTGAGTGTGTTTACATGCGCTCAACAATCCAATGACTGCAGAAAATCAGATTTTGTCAGTAATACGATCAACATGTTTACCTGCACTTGAGTAATCAGATAATGGGAAACTCTGGGTTTACATGAGTCAGATAGTGATCAGATTTCTGCTTTACAACCAGCCAATAAACTCAGAGAAGAAGACGTGACGTGAACATAATGTAAAACTCAAACTTCATACTGCGACTTTTTTTTAAACATCGCGCTGCTTTACCAGAAAATATGAGCACACATCGTCTAGAAGACGAAGAATATTCAGATCCTTTATTTCCTGTTTGGTTTCAGCGCCGCTCCAACAGTGTTTTGCTGAGTCTCGCGACATCCACCGTCTGATCTTGCGCAGACTGAGACATCCGATAGAAATCAGAATAAGAGTTTACATGCACTGAGAAATCTGATTACTGAGCTAAAATCCAGCCTCTTTATCTGATTTCTTAATCGGATTTCTAGATCAGAGTACAGTGTTTACATGACCATTTGAATAATCGGATAACCGCAGAAATCCGATTATGATCGGATTATTCAGTGCATGTATACACACTAATTATGGGTTTCGGTGTAGGGGAGGGGTTTAGCGATCACTGTGATGAAGCTGAGAGTGATGTCATCGAGTAACGGAACGTTACATGTCTGTGATGTTTTTTGAATGTGTTTACATTTGAAAAGGTAAAGGACTGTCTGATGTAATGAGTGTGATTTTGCTCTAGTTGGGATTTGAAGCTGTGAAGTGACCTGTGATGGACTGCAACACCAGCCGAACACAGGTGTTCATTGTTTTTAGTTTTATGCTTTTCTTGTTGGTAAAAGGTCAGAAGGTGCGCTCTGTATTAGCTGGTGTTGCTCTGTTGGAACAGTAATGATAATAATCCGCTCAAACTGCACAGCAGAAATTCACCTCGTGTGTTGAAGTGTGCAGAGATAGACTTTAGTGAGACGTTAAACTGATCCACATACAGAGTCTCAGAGTTTAAGGGGTTAAAATGAATCACAGCGATTGATCCCTGTGTGAGCTGCAGGTGGGGAGTCAGGGCGTCTCCACCACACTCAGTTTCAGAGAGGCTGCTCGCCGCGTGGTCCTCATGTGCCGCGTCTGCCGCTGCTTGATGTCCGGCTCCAACAATCCCTACTGCATGGAGAAGCTGCTGGGAGAACTTGCCCAGGGTGCTGCCAAGGTGTGTGTGTGTGTGTGTGTGTGTGTGTGTGTGTGTGTGTGTGTGTGTCTGTGTGAGAGAGAGAGAATTTCCAAAATAAGATGATGATGAATAACTTATATATGACCATATATCTCCCAGTGTTTGACAGAGCTGAATACAGAGCTGTGTAAAAGTCAGAGACCCCCCTTTCATTTATTTAGTTTCCAGTCTAAACAGCGTAAAAATAAAACACGTATTTAACATCGTGTTGCACTGAAGCCTCAACAACTAAATATATGATCAAATCTCTCTGAATTCATTGTGTCCACTATTTGCCTCCATCGCAGCTTTTATTCTTTTCAGGAGTTTAACTTTCAGTTTTCAGCATTCAGAGAAACCTGCAGGGAGATTTTTCCACACCAGCTTTGTTTACTGAAGTGTCTAAATAACTTTATAC